AAATACCTCTTCAACTTAAAACATTTTTATATCTCACACAGTAAGGCAAAGAAGAAAGCTTAAGATGTAAAACTATCATAACATGCTGCTCCTTAAGCAGTCAGATTTATGTCTAATTTTGTGTAATAAGCTATCTTCAAATTCTATTGTCTGCCAATTATTAAGGGCTAGTCTGGAAATGCCACCATTCTGGTGGGCAGAAATCCCTGTGCCATAACCTTGTGTATTCTGGTATGGGCATAAATGGTTGTTCTACAATTATCCAGTATTAGCATGTGAGTAGGAGGATAGTTTTATAAGTCTAGCAAAGGTATGGTGGGATCCTGAGCAATCTGCACCAGATGTCACTTTGGATCAAACTGAGAAGAAACTCACTTTGCTATGTTATCTGCAGTAAGCAGTACTTTTACCTAACACTTTCTGTTAGGGCCGAATTCAAAATTTTACAAACATAGCTTTTTCTTAAATTTCTTCTTTTCTAAGCACTCCATTCTTATTGTAAGTAAAATATGCTTCAGATGGACATAATATTTTGATACTGAAACTTTATTAATATGTTGATATTGTTCTATTTCTTGACTGGAAATTGAATTAATTCTAATATAGCCAAGATTAAAAATGTGTAGGGTTTACTGTGATTGAATTTCATCAATGTTGGATGAAGAAGCATGCTCTCTGCATGGACAAAATCTTTTGTCCATAGACTAAATGTTTGCTATTTATCTTATTATAAGATATTTTCCTTTTTTCCCCTTAATTACATGGAAATCACTGAAATCAGTAAGAATAGCACACCTTGAAAAATGCATCTTTCAAAGGGACTGTCATGTGTTGAAGGTATTATTTCAAGTTTAGATTTAAAATGCCATTTTACAGAAATACATGAATATTAAACCTGAGAATTCAGGGATGTGTCAGTTGTCTAGTGTATTATGTAGCTATTGGATGAATTTGGGCACCGGATTGTGTTCAAATACCTTAAGTGGACATTCATATCAGTCATATTGTCTTGCCCATTTTCTTATTATCAGTTAAGCTGAGAAAAGTTGACTTGCATGGAGAATTTTCATCAGTGCTGATGGATTGCTCAGCTGGATTTTGCAAAATGAAAACATTTGAGTTGATCTTGGCTAGGCACTTGTCTTTACCTCTTCTTCCATGCTCTTGGAAAAAGCATGAAAAATGCCTTTAATAGCATCCTTTCTTTCCTCTCTTCATGTCAAACGAACTGGGGCTTCCTCATTCTGTAAAAGGTGGCTTCATAAAGCATCTCAAGGATAGGATCTCTTTCATTATTGAATCCTCCCATATTCAGAAGAACCAGGTTCTCCTTTCCTAACCATGAATTTATTTTCTTTTCTATGGTAAGAAACATGGTGGTCCTTTTCCATTCTGGACTCCAGATTTTCTAGTGAGAGTACCTTATGCATTAAAGCAAAAGGACCAACAAACAATTTGTGAAGATGATCTACCTCTTCTCCTAGACAACACACATGATCTACTAATCTCTTTTCAGAGGATACCTGGGCCATAAGGATGTGTTTGCAGTTACATTAGGAGGGTATCTGCATGCTGCTTGTGAATGTCAATGCAAATTAATTTTTCATAGCCAGGCCTGCATCTGATGTATGTGATAGTCTTTGATGACACTTTTGGTCATGCAGTAGGTGAGGTGCTGGGACGTAAATGTGACATGCTGGGATGTAAATGTGACATGCATTAGTCCGCAAAAGATTATAAGATCCATGAAGCAAATTAAAATCCTTCATAAATTTGCTGCAACCTTTATTTGATTTTCAACAAACTGAATGCTGCAGTAACAACTTCCCTTCAAATACAGTTGAGTCACCTTTCTAGAGAAAATATAACATAAATGCTTCCCTTGCCCCATTGTTTTTTGATCTGTCTAGTTTGACATGAATGTGAGGTCAATATAACCTGTTCATATGGTTGGAATAAAAAAGAAAGCTGCCAACAGTGATACATAGGAGTAAAAATATCTAGTCTGATTGTGTAGCTATAAAATTCCTTCTGAAGCCTTTTCAATGTTTAATTTTAGCTACATTTTATTTGTAGGTTATTCACAAATTTATCTAGAATCATAGAATGCATGGGAATTGGTTTTGTTTCTTGTAGATAATTGTACATGCAGCTGATTTAGATTTTTCTAGCTGAGTTCTGCTATTATTAGATAAGGTATTTACACTGGACTGGTCTACAGTTTTTCCATTTGCCCATTTAATCCCTTTT